CACAGCACGCGATGAAGCCGAGAAGGCTCGAGGATATATACCAGGCTCGTCCGTAAGGCGTGTGGATACCCTCTGGACGCCAGTTCACGGAGCTCAGGACCGTCTGAAACGAATAATCAGAGCCAACATAGCAGCATGTTCACGTCACCTGTACGAGACAGCTGAGGTTGATGCAAGCGTAGCAGAGTAAAAAGCACATAGTTAACAGCGGAGCGATGCTGTCCAGGGAGGAACCCAGGATGCCCAGGGCCAGGCAGGCTGGGATCATAGTTACTATGAGAGCTCGATGGGGTTCCTACGGGGAAACACAAGCCAATCTACAGCGGCATAGATGACCACCAGATACCAACCTGAGATTTTCCGCTCAGTACGGCGATGGAACGGAGGGGTGGTAAGAGATTATCAGATGCTATCGAGTAGAGCAGCCGCGGCGCAACAACCTGACCAACGGTCGAACCCGACAGGGACACTACCAGGCTCTACCAGGCACTGCATGCTTTGAGACAGCGAAGAGATCATCACGCCCACGAATGCCACTGGAGCGTTCGGCAACAGCAGTTTATAGAGCAAGCCGTTATCCATAGCACCTGAACGATAGATGGATAGTCACAGTGGCACGACATGACGAGGCTACCCCGTAGTGCGTCCGCGTCGGCAGCCGAAGCCCAAAGGAGCATGAACAAGGAGTACATGACCAGCGAGAAGGATATAGCACCAAAAGTGCCCCTCTTGAGGTTGGTCGGTGGGTCCTTGAGGACATCAGTACGGTTAGCTCCAGATAAGATACCCGTGAAGCACGGGAAGAAGAGAGACAGCATCGAACTGAAATTGGTATCAGCCGAATATTGCGGCCACAAGTTGCCGCTTAGATAGTCCGCCCCTGTGGAGAAGACAGGGACGGCTAGAGACACGAAAAAGGCGACCACCGTTGCGAGAACAGTTACTATGAAAAGCACCGCCAGCTTAGAGACTGCCTCGATGCCTCCAAAGAATACCGTCAGAAACTGCACGAACAGAAGGGCGAACGACAGAGGTAAAGGTGTCAGGAAGGGAGCGAGCCAAGACGCCGACTCGGGCAGAAGTACGGCTCCACTCGGGTCCTTCGGCAAGAGCATGAGGAGGGTATCGATCGCACCAACAGACTCCATGACGGCCAATAGAGTACCGCCTAGCCAGTAAGCGATACCAATAGAGACCCCGGGGATATGCTCCGATGGTGCCTACACAACAGGAATGATACAACGTGGCTCTACAGAAAAATATATTTATACTGTATACTATACCACTATCTGATACATTATCAAGGATCAATCTATGGGTATTAGAAATT